TCGGCGATTTCTCAAAACCTGTCGGCGAGCCAAAATCGGGGCTAAAATCGTGCAGTCTGAACTCGGCATTAGTCTTTTTGCCACTTGTGGGCGTGACCGCCCTTACAGAAAAAACACATGAATTTCACATGTTATCACATGTTTTCCACATGTGCCCACATGTGACCACATGTGACCACATATGCCCACATGTGACCACATATGAACAACATGTCATCACATGTGAACAATGTTTCACCACATGTGAACAACATGTCACCACATGCAGTAATGTTCGACCACATGTGAACAACATGTCACCACATGCAGTAATGTTCGAACACATGTGAACAACATGTCACCACATGTGAACTTAATGGAACACGTGGCACATGTGGAAAACATGTTATAGGTAATAATGTGGAGCTCATGTGAAATATATTTGCACGTTGTAATAGGTTTTAACATGTGAATTATGTTACCACGTCACAAATACTGTACATTTTTAGCTTCAATAGCCTTTTTCACACAAAATGCATAGAACATAAAGCTTATAATGCATGTGTATATACTAACACTTATATACACGTATAGTTTTTAATGAGTTTTTGCAATACTTTTATTTCAACACTGTTTACCATTTCTAAAGCTATATTGTAAATATATTTTACATAATCAACAGTATATTATATTTGATATAATCAATAGGCTACTGCAAGCACGTTTTCAAATAAAATAAAGTGGATATTAAACTTTTCATTTTAAGTGCTGCATGATTTTGACGTGGTTTAATCAATGCCGTGCGCGTGAACTTTCGAGTATTTCAAACACTGGAGCGGCCGGCGCGCAGAGTTGCCATGGAAACGGCGCGGGACCACTGCTACTGGTAAGCAACAAAACTCCCTCTCTCGATGTTGTTTAAACTTTTCACGGCTTTTTCCAGGTGAGATTAGTCTCTAAAATCACACGAATAATACTCACAACTGTTTTTGACATTTCTCTTACTTGTAATTGACACGATTCTGTTAAAAATTTACATGGTGTAGTGTCTTCGGAAAAAGTCCGTTAGGATCTCAACCGTTTTCTGAAGAGGTAGCAGCTAGCTAGGCTAACGTAATGTTAACTCGGTTGAACTTTTATTTATTAAAGTTTGGGCTTTTAATCACCTCTTATGTGTAGATGAGAGGTTTTGTAAAGGTTTTACTTGGAAGTGAGCTAATTTATTTAACACAAACGTAAACATAACGTATCGGTGATGTTACTTTCAGGAGCAAGAAAATTGGCTGAAACTAACGTTAGCTCAATGGTAACGTTAAACACATTTTGATTAAAAAATGTTCTGTGATTTCAGTAGTAACAAAATAACCCATAACAGAGAGAAAGCTCCACGACTTCAACATTTCTGGAGAAAGCTGCTGCCGGAGAAGTAACGTTAGGACACAGGTGAGCCGAGGAAGCTCATTAAATAACCTCATTTTATTTCTCAATTTGTTTTTTTAAATTGTTTATTTTAAGAAGGTTTTGACATCCAAACGAAGTTACACCGTATGAGCAAAATTAAATGAATAAGTAAACCCAAAAACAAATTCTGTTATCCTAGTTAAGAAATTATATTCTGTATATTCTTTAAATTCTTTCTCTTTTCTGCATTTCACCTCTGCTGTAGCTTCTTTCCTTTCAATAAACCTGGCATTGCATTGTTGGCTCAGTGACAAATGGCTTGTTGTGTTCTTAGATCCTTCAGTGCTGATGCCCTTCAACGGAGCGGAGTGGAGCTGATCTTCATCTCTAAAGCACTATTGATGAACCATATGATTAGTAAGTAAAACGCCAAACATACACTAATGTCAAACATACACTAATTGTCTTGGTACAAATGTTTATGTCTCTTTCTCTTATGTTCACCAAAAAACATTAAAAACAATAATATTGTGAAATAATATAAATAAATAAAAACTGTTTTCTATGTGAATATATTGTAAAATGCAATTACTTCCTATGATCAAAGCTGAATTTTCAGCATCACAGCTTCACATCATCCTTCATAAATTATTCTAATATGACGATTTGATGCTCAAAAAAACATTTATGATTATTATCAGTGTTGAAAACAGTTGTGCTGCTTCATATTTTTGTGTTTTTCAGGATTATTTGATGAATAGAAAGGTTAAAATAACAGCATTTATTTGAAACAGAAATCCTTACTCTCTCTTTTGATCAATTTAATGCATCCTTGCTGAGTAAAAATATGAATTTCTTCTTTTTTTTCTGTTCATTTTTAAATCTATCATTGACCCCAAATGTTTGAACATTAGTGTAAACTACCCTTCATATGTTTGTGGTCTATTTAACAATGAATCCTGGAGGGGAAAAAATGGTTTAAACTGTTACAATGGTTTACACAAACACATTAATCAGCACAACTGTTTTCAACATTGATAATAATCAGAAATGTTTTGGATGTTTACATGGTAAGAATGTATAGAATTCAAATATAAAAAACACTGACTCGTTAGGTCATGTTTACTCATTAAAGTCAGATGATTTCCTATTAATTCAATAGAATATGGTGACTTCAATTTACATGACGTCATGAGCAATCAAGTCATTTATATAGATCAGTGAGTAGTGCCCAGCATATCCAAGTCCACTAAAGGAGATTTCTCGCATTTTACCCCTAAACTCTGGAATATGAAGGTAAAAGAGTATCAAGACTCGAGCATGAACAATAAATACTTGTATGCTAAAATTTACACTCACAGCTCCAAAGTGAAAACCTCACCTAATATGCAATAACGTTGAAAAGATCACGGTTTCTGTCCTGACGAAAATGTTCTATTTTTTATTTTATTTTTTGCTTTGCAGAACAAGTCTGTGACTGACTTAATGAACCCAGTTGCTTTGGATCATGCTCAAAGATGTAAGGGCTACAAAAAGTTAACCAGAACTCTTATGGACTCCATCTTCTCTTTCGAAGAGATGGCAGCATGAACGGAAAAAAAGGGGTTGTTGGTGAAAAAAGAGCCTTGACCTACAAAAGGTGCAGCTAATAATTGGTAAGCATGTCTGAATATCTTTTATCAATAGTTATTATATATGACAAGCGCTGAGCGCGTCCGTCAGCGCCAGCCATAGCGCGGAAAGCACAGTTTGAATCTGACAGTTATGTCACTTCATGTCAAACTTGTTTTCAAATTTTAATGTAATCAATCTCATTTCTTACAGACCATGTCAAAAAGAGGCACCCAGGCATCGGAGGCACTGAGATCAAGGTCTGCATGGCACAAAAGTTAAAAGATCTGAGGAGACGAGCAGAAAGGTAATATTCAGACGATCCAACATCCAAGTGTGATCCCCATGTGGTCTGTTCACATTTGCGAAACCGACATGCGCGAGGACTGATGACTCAGTTTATTCCTCAGTCTACATTGTGATCTAATCACAAACTGTCAATAGTTTTTTTTATAAATGAGACGCACCACTCGTCTTATACAGTTGTTTAAGCAAGATGTATTTCCATAGCATATTTACGTAAAACGTTTAATGACATAATAACATTACAAATGAATAATAATTAATTATTAAGCCCCATAAAAATGCTTTTCAGAAACCTACGGGGTGACGTCACGGACACTACGTCCATATTTTTTTTTACAGTCTATGGTTTGCACTGCCCTAATCTTTGATCTTTTTCTATCCCAAAACAGGATGCCTGCTGCAGGAGACACAAAGGACTGAGACAACACACTTTCACAAACGCACACCACACACACACACATGCGCGTATACCTGCGTTTTTTGCGGCTTTTTATGTATAATTTTAATTTGGTTTTGCTTTGTTTGTTTTAAACATTCAATTTGTATTGCATATTTTGAAATGAAATAAAAAGTGAAAAAAATTTTTTTTTGAATTATTTGTTTTAATGTTGGGAAACATTAGGCTATAGAGCCTACACAAGAACATGGTAGGCCTACCGTTTTCTGTGGTATATTGCTTAATGATTTTTACATGGATTTCACATGAAGTTACAGGTTTACATGGTGTGTAGCTTTAACATGGATTGTTGATGGGTTTCAAATGTCATTCTATGGGTTTCACATGAGATATTTTACATTTCACATGATATCTCATGGGTTTCACATGTGATTAAATGTTTCACATGGGAATTTTACGTTTCACATGTAAGCTCATGGATTTCACATGGGAATTTTGGGTTTCACATGCAATCCCATGGGTTTCACATGTAATCACATGGGTTTCACATGCAATCACATGGGTTTCACATGCAATCCCATGGGTTTCACATGTAATCACATGGGTTTCACATGCAATCCCATGGGTTTCACATGTAATCACATGGGTTTCACATGTAATCACATGGGTTTCACATGGGTTTCACATCCCATGGGTTTCACATGTAATCACATGGGTTTCACATGCAATCCCATGGGTTTCACATGTAATCACATGGGTTTCACATGCAATCCCATGGGTTTCACATGGGAATATACATGGGTTTCACATGAAAATGTTCCAAAACCACACGTTTCCCATGTGCAAATTACCTTTAACATGTGCAAAGCACATGTGTTCCACATATTTCACATGTTAAATTTCACATGTGCAAAATCACATGTCCACGTTGTCACATGGGATCACATGTGTTTTTGCACATGTGAAACTCATGTGGTTTTTCTGTAAGGGCGCATTCACTCCGGCCGATGGTGACGTCATGCGCATACCCTCTATTAATTTTTTTTTTTTATGGATGAGTTGAAGCATCACAAAGTGCTCATCATCATATATTAAAAATGAATACTAAAAATGTTTTTAAACATCTAATAAAATTAAGACTTTTTTTCTTCAAAAGGTTCTAAAAGGAATTGAACATCCAAAAAAAAAAAAAAACTTTTTTAAACATCCAATCAAAACTTGGTTTAAAGTTCTAAAAAAAAAAACTAAACATCTAATAAAATTCTGAAATTCTAATTCTATTTTTTGTTTTTTTGCTTTTCTGGAGAAGAAGCTGTGGCTCCGCTCTCTAAACTGAGGATCGTTCTGCTGGGCTGGATTCTGTCTGGGAAGAGTGCAACCGCAAACACCATCTTCAATAACGAAATATTTCAAACAGAAAGAGTACAAACGGAAACGGGCACAAATTATACAGGTGATGTAAATGGCAGAAAAATAACGGTGTTGGACACCCCAAGCTGGTGGAAGTTTTTCTCGTCTAAATTCAACCCGAAGTTTTCTCAGGCTACAACCCTGGAGAGCATGGGCCAATCACAACACATGCAGTTCCCTCACGCCTTGATCTTGGCGATTCCTATCGATACTTCATTCAAAAACGAGCAGAAAAGAATCATTGCAGAACATATGGCCAGTCTTGGAGAAGACGTCTGGAGACACACTATAGTTCTGTTCACGTGGGGCGACAGGTTTCCAGACATATCGATCGAGCAGCACATCGAGAGTGAAGGTGAAGCGCTTCAGTGGCTGATCCAGAAATGCAGGAACAGATATCATGTGTTTGACAACACAGACAAGAATCGAGCTCAAGTCACGGAGCTGCTCCAGAAGATCGACGAGATGGTGGCAGAAAACAGTCTGTTCAGTCTCAAAACTCAATGTGCCGCAGAAGAAAGCGTTCATGTGTCTGACACACAACACGACGAGGAGATAAGTCTGAGCACTGCCCAGTTACAGGAATTAATGTACCACGAGATGAAGAACAGGCGTAAAGAGATGAAAACTAAGCTGGAAGAATTAGGGATGGACTTCAGTGGATGTAAAGACGACAGCATAGGACAACCTCCAGATTGTAAATTGCCAATTCTGTCTAATTTCCATAGAGATATTATAGCAGTAAACAGCAAAGGACTTCTATAAATGTTATTTTTGAGCATTTTTCTGTGTCATCTTCCTCTTCTAGTGTCAGATAATGATGAACTCAAGGAGAAGATAAGGAGAGAAGTGAGAAGATGGGAAGCAATTATAATGGATGGGATGTTGAACATTCAGAATCCTGAAGCATCACATGGTGAGTTATTAGATTTGCATTGCTTAAAGGAAAATAGTTGTTTCTGTTTAATAACCTGTCAAAATTCCTTCTCTGCCACTTATTTTTTCATATTCATCATGACACATACAGGTGAAATGATTCAAAGTACAAATGCAATGGTGATGAGCTGGCTTCAGAAATGTGATGAATACAGCACATCTAAAACATCAGGATATGAAACAAACTCAGAACCCAGAGATCTAGAAGATCCACAGAACCCAGAGATGTCAGATAATGCATCCAAACTTCAAACAATGCATGCCTAAAAACCAATTTGCATTGGTTTTAAAACCTATTTATTTTGCAGTTATTTGTTAATTATGTGTTTTTCTAGTTATTAATATGTTCGAGTTCCTAGAGCTCTTCCTGTATGATTTTAGGGAAAAATCGGATCTATTGGAGATGTCAAATAGATTTCTTATAGACGCACCAAAAGAGTACCGACACAGTAATAAAACATGGGAAAATCTCACAGTAAAACAAGCAGTTGTGAAATATGATACAACAGTGTTTTGCCATGATGAGAAATTGATCTATGTGTCATATTTTTACTCTTTAAATTCATTTTATAACTGTTTTAATGTTCCTTGTTTTTATTTTGTGATTATTTTAATTCCTTTGTAAAGCACTTTAAACTACCATAGTGTATGAAATGTGCTATATGAATAAACTTGCCTTGTCTTGCCTGGGCTATTTTTTAATTAATATCTGATATTGTTGTATAATATCGAAATATATAGGATATATATTACTTTATGTTATAAATTTCATCATAATATAAAGTAATAACTGCTTATGTAATGTATCATAAAAGTATGGTTTTTATGTCTGTATAATGTATCATGCTTATTTAACTTTTTACATCATTGCATTTTATCAAGTTAAAAATAAAGAAATTGTTGAGATTCACAATGACTGTTGTCAATGTTTAATGTACATCACATAAGGTTTGATGTCAGTGACATCCTAAAACATTAATAGTGTTTTTTTTGTGACAAAGCTATTGAATGGGCAACGCACAGGATTCCTAGGACTGATACTGAATGTAAATAAACAGTAAGTTATCTGTTCTCCTGTGACATTTATTTTGAAAGTAGTTTTCTCTTCTGTGACTTTTATTTTGAAATTAGTATTCTCTTCTGGGACTTTTATTTTGAAATCTTAGAGGTTCAGTGTCGGTCTGTCAGGCGGTGTGTGTTTGTCATGACAGGAGCAGATTTAACATCCCTGAGATTGGGTGAGATGTGTGATTCATGTGTTTTATAACATTTATACTGTTTATGCGAGGATATCGATACATAAAGAAGGAAAGTAAAGTATTTTAATCAGGTTTTTTTCCTGATTAGCAAATCATGTGTCTCGTGCGCTAACGCTAAAAGCTCATGTCACCTCTACAAACATTTGACAATTCAACTACTGACAGGCGATTAAATATAACGTTTTTATACAACCAGAGAGCAAATTAATCGTCTTACAGGATTCAGATTAGTAAATATTCAAGTTAACAGCATAGAGTTTATAAAATTGAACTTTTACGACTATCTTCTAAAATACATTACTCTTGCATTTGATATGATTATGGTCATTATAGGGATGTAAACATTTAATCGTATATTTGCATTTTACTCTATAAGCCAACAGGCTGTTAATAAGTTTGTCTGTGTCTAATATTACATCATGAGTTACTTTCACTTTTGTATTCCTGACATAACGTAACGTTAATTGTAAACTGTACCATGATTTTGTTTACATAATACTCCAGGTTACTTAAAAGATACCAGTGTATTATCATAGCACAAAACACAGTAACATGGTAATGCTATATTACATTTTAGTTCATAAGAAGAGTTTCCATATTAATTAACCTCAAAATCTAATTTATTATTGTTTCCCAGTTTTGACAGCTCTGATGTGGAAGTCTTGAAGATAAGAGTGAGTAAATATAATTTATAAATGATAAAGCGATAATCCGAAGTAGCTTCTCCTGAATTTGCTGATGTTTCTGAAATATCCCCAGTACAGGTGTGGAAATGGAGCAGTCAGATCGTTCTCCGCTGAAGCGTTTTGTGCTGGCCAAAAAGAAGATCGGCGAGGTTTTTGAGCAGCTCTTAGATTACGTTCAGGAGGGCTCAGAGTTTGTGAAAGGTAATCTTTGATTTGATTTCTGTTAGACTGAAAATATCCAATCACACAGATTCTCCACTGACTTGATTAGATCAGTAGAAAAGTTGGTCTAATACAGCAGACAGCAACAGTTGCCAAAGTAGGATTGGTTTGTTCGTTGCGAAGGGTTAACTATTGTAGTATTTACATGTGTTTTGTTTATTCTTTTTGTCAACAGAAACCTCTAATAATGAGTCGCTGGAGAATATTGCAAATAGGAGCCAGTTGAATGAGATCGAGACGTACACAAGCAAACTGTCCGACATTAAAGGGGTGTTATCTCGCAATCATATGAAGGTGGCCTTTTTCGGCAGGTGAGTTTTGTGTTTGACCAGAAGTTCCACATGTGATTCACTTTTAGTTTCAGGTCAGTAAATGTTACAAACGTTATTTTATCAGAACAAGCAATGGTAAGAGCACAGTGGTGAACGCCATGCTGCATGACCGCGTGCTTCCCAGCGGCATCGGTCACACCACCAACTGCTTCCTCAGCGTGGAGGGAACGGATGAGGACAAGGCCTTTCTGAAGACCGAAGGGTCCGAGGAGGAGAAGAGCATCAAGGTAAAGACAAGTGCATGTTTTCTCCTATTCAATAAACACATTAGATATAGATATAGGCAAAATAGAATCGCCATTGGCTAGTAAATTTTTTTTGTTTACTCGCCAGACTGATATTCTGTTTTATATACAGTAGTCAACATTTGAAGTGGATCAAAAAAGTTCATCAAAGTTGTCCTATGACAAGAACGGGTATTGTTCAAAATTCATGTATAACTTTGATGAAAGGTTTTGATCCACTTCAAATGTTGACTACTGTATATATATATATATATATATATATATATAGAGAGAGAGAGAGAGAGAGAGAGAGAGAGAGAGAGAGAGAGAGAGAGAGAGAGAGAGAGAGAGAGTCCGTAGCCATTTTCAAGAAATAGCTGAAGACAAATTTTTTTTTGGCATCACTTGATCCATTAATACTAACACTTTCTCTTCTATTCAATATCTATTTATAAAAAATTTTTTTTTTAAAAAGTACATGCACTGCGTACAAAGTACAGATTACTTATATTAAACGGGAAAGGGTCATAGCACTTGCATATTGTTGTCCTATTGTTAGTTTAACTGCTTCTATTGTTATAATTTGTAAGTCGCTTTAGATAAAAGCGTCTGCTAAATGAATAAATGTATAAATGTATATATATATATATATGTATGTGTATATATATATGTATATATGATTTCACCAAATCAGCTTATCTTTGTAAAATGGCACCGCTTTTTGAATATCTGAACATACACTCTTACATCAGACAATCAAGCATTGTATTATGATAATCAAGCACTATTTAACGATAGAACTTTAGTAATTATAACTAAACCTTGGTAACCATGCATGAATGCATATTTGTCATTTTAACTGAACTTAGGACTGGTGGTGGTGCTTAGGATATTGTTGGTCATTCAGTATTTCTGTAAAAAAATAAAAAATAATAGTTATTATTAGTAATAGATAATAATACTACTACAAAATCTACTACTAATGATGAGAAACCGGCATATCTTCTGCTTGTTCTTAAAAGCTGAATAATTCCAAATTAACTCTGTTATTTTGAAAGAAAAATGCAACAAATAATATCGTTTACATGCAACGCATCGATTCTGCGTGGCATGTAAGACTCTCTCTCTCTCTCTCTCTCTCTTTGCGTGTGTGTGAGAAACAGCGCTCTCAGCAAAGCGATGTATAGAACTCAAATAGAGTTTGCAGTACGTCAAATACTTAAAAAAAACAACAACAAAAAAACAGAATTGCACATATAATAGTGTTTATAGTTATAAAACGGCCTCTTAAAGTGCATTTGGTGAAGGTCAAATACACTCTTCCTCTGCAGACAGTAAATCAGTTGGCTCACGCACTGCACATGGATGAGAGTTTGGATGCTGGCTGTCTCGTAAAAGTCTTCTGGCCCAAGACGAAGTGTGCTCTGCTCCGAGACGACCTGGTTCTGGTGGACAGGTACACTTCCATGAGCCCAAAATGCTGTTAATATGTCCCATTGTAGCGTAGTATGAAGAGTAAAGTTTGTATGTTTAAAGGGATAGTTCACCTCAAAATGAAAACTCTGTCAGTAATTACTCTCCCTCATGTTGTTCAACCCCGTAAGACTTTCATTCATCTTCGTTCACAAATTAAGATATTTTTAATTAAATCTGAGAGCTGGATCACTCCTCCATAGGCTTCTTAAGGGATTGAAACTGGCCGGCCCAAAAGTTATGAAAGACATCGTTAAAATAGTGACTACAGTGGCTCAACCTTAAGTTTATCAAGCGACGAGAATATGTTTTGTGCGCATTAAACAAACAAAAATAACGACTTTATCAGGGTTCCCATGGCTGCTCCTTGAAATCCTTGAACGTTTGTGAATCTGAGAGAAAAAAAATTCAAGGCCCTGGAAAGTTTTTGAAAATAAACATACATAGATACATGGCCTTGAAAGTGCTTGAATTTATTTTGTGCAAAACATTTTCTGGAAAAAAATCCATATTATTACCTCCGGTCCGCTAATGTGTTATTTCGCCAACACCTCGTGGCCTATGCATACTAGCTTTCTTGATTTAGTTACGCACATTTACGCGTTACGTTGTGTTTCCTGCGTGAGGTACTTTGTGTTGGACGTTGCCATGACGTTCATGCGCGCACAAAACTACTACGATGGTAACCCAACATTTGTTGTTGGACACAACAAATGTGTCCCCACATTAAGTTCTTGAATTTGAGGGCATTGGACATGGAAAGTCCTTGAAAGGTCCTTGAATTTGAAGTTAACCAAGGTGTGGGAACCCTGTTTATTCAACTATTCATTTCCTTCTCTGTGGGCCGTGAGATTTCACGTAGTGTAACAGCGCAGCGCTTCTGGGTTGTACGTCACACGCATCTCACACACATGACCAGCGTCGGCCAATCGTGAGCCTACGTGTGACGTACAACCCAGAAGCGCTGCGCTGTTACACTACGTGAAATCTCACGGCCCACAGAGAAGGACATGAAGAGTTGAATAAAGTCGTTATTTTTGTTTGTTTTTTGCGCACAGAAAGTATTCTCGTCGCTTGATAAACTTAAGGTTGAGCCGCTGTAGTCACTCGGACTATTTTAACGATGTCTTTCATAACTTTTCTGTAGGGCTGTCAATCTTCCTCTATAATACTATTCGAATTCCATTCCTTGTTTTAGTTAATATTCGAATATTAAATGC